TCGCAATTATCAAAGTGATTATTTAATATTTTAAATCCCTATAATTTCATCGATTTTCGATTAAATTGTATATTGTTTAATTAATAAGGATTGAGAAAATTTAAAGCATTGGTCGAAATATAGTTAATTCTATCTAAATTCTAATTTCTAATTAATTAACATTTATTAATATTCATAGCAAATTATGTTTCCAGAATAATCATAAACGTGTTTAACAAAAAAATTACAATATACGAAGCGTTTCTCACCACAACTTTATTACTCGAGAGTCACTGTGCGAATGATGACAAAGCGATAACATATACAGCGCTACTGTTTATATTTTGTATTTCCAAAATCGAACGCCGTGTTATCGATAATTTGCTGAAATATTTTATAAATTGTAAAATATACATTAACGCAGAATATTAAGATAATGGAGTATTTTAATTTACTGATAAAAATTGATTACATATTAAACAATTTATCACGGAACCTTTCGTTATGCTAGTTATTTGTATCTATAATTCGATTGTTTTACATCGCGTTCTCTCACATCGAAATTATATTTAGATTATCAAGTAAAACGATAAAGTAACACGGATGAAATATATTTGTGATTCTAAATATTAAAATAATAATTATTTTCTGTAAAAATCTCAATTATCGAAGTGATTATTTAATATTTTGGATCCCTATAATTTAATCGATTTTCGATTAAATTGTACATTGTTTTATTAACAAGGATTGAGAAAATTTAACGCATTGATCGAAATATATTATAGTTAATTCTAATATTGTTAAAGAAATGTTACAATAAGCATCATTGATCGATATCGTAACATAATTAATTTTTTTATCCTCTTTTACGTATCCCGTGTTTCAATTTTTGTTCCCAGTAATAAATGATTGCGATTCGATAAAGATTTATTGTTGCGATACAGTTTCATGTCGTTAATTAATTTTTAATTAATTAACATTTATTAATATTCATAGCAAATTATGTTTCAAGACTAATCATAATCGTGTTTAACAAAAAAATTACAATATACGAAGCGTTTCTCACCACAATTTTATTACTCGAGAGTCACTGTGCGAATGATGACAAAGCGGTAACGTATAGAGCGCTACTGTTTATATTTTATATTTCCAAAGTCGAACGCCGTGTTGAATTTGTTGAAATATTTTATAAATTGTAAAATATACATTAACGCAGAATATTAAGTTAATGAAGTATTTTAATTTACTGATTAAAATTGATTATATATTACACAATTTATCACGGAACCTTTTGTTATGCTAATTATGTGCATCTGTAATTCGATTGTTTTACCTTCGCGTTCTTTCACATCCTAAATTATATTTAGATTATCAAGGAAAACGATAAAGTAACACGGATGAAATATATTTGTGATTCTAAATATTAAAATAATAATTATTGTCTGTAAAAATCGCAATTATCGAAGTGATTATTTAATATTTTGGATCCCTATAATTTAATCAATTTTCGATTAAATTGTATATTGTTTTATTAATAAGGATTGAGAAAATTTAACGCATTGGTCGAAATAAAGTTAATTCTAATATTATTTACTAATATTATAATGAAATATTGCAATAAGTATCGATGATCGAAATATCACAACATAATCTCTTATCCTTTTTTATGTATAACATGTTTTAATTTTTAATCGCGGTAATGAATGATTGCGATACGATAAAGATTTATCGTTGCTATACTGTTTCATGTCGTTAATTAATTTCTAATTAATTAACATTTATTAATATTCATAGAAAATTATGTTTCAAGACTAATCATGAACGTGTTTAACAAAAAAATACAATATACGAAGCGTTTCTCACCACAACTTTATTACTCGAGAGTCACCGTGCGAATGATTACAAAGCGGTAATGTATAGAGCGCTACCTGTTTATATTTTATATTGTCAAAGTCGAACGCCGTGTTTTCGATAATTCCCTTCTGAAACATTTTATATATTATAAAATATACATTAACGTAGAATATTAAATTATACAAATATTGTAATTTATTAATTTAAATTCGCGCGTTATTTATTAAACAATTTATCACGGAGTTTTTCGTTATGCTAATTATTTGCATCTATAATTCGATTGCTTTACTTCATGTTCTCTCACAATCGAAGTTATATTTAGATTGTCAAGAACGATAAAGTGACACGGATGTAATATATTTGTGACTCTAAGTATTAAAATAATAATTATTGTCCGTAAAAATCACAATTATCAAAGATTATTTAATATTTTAATCTCTATATTTAAATCCCTAATATTTTAATCCCTATATTTAAATCCCTATAATTTCATCGATTTTCGATTAAATTGTGTATTTAGAAAGATTGAGAAAACTTAAAGCATTGAATCGAAACATATTGATTCTAATATTATATTCTAATATTATAGAGAAATATTGTAATAAGTATCGATGATCAAAATATCACAACATAATCTTTTCCGAAGTTAAATTCTACAATATTTTGTTTTGCAATTTAGAAGACTGACTTATAATAAATTAAATAAATCAATAAATAAATGATGAAAATGATTGAAAAGAAAAAGAAGACACATAATCAAATAAATAAAAAATAGCGCGGAAAGAGAGAACATACTAATATTTTTATATAATGAATTATTATTAATTAAATTATTATATTTATATTTTTATTTATATTATTTATATTATCAGAAAGAAGAGTGAAAGAGATGTTATAGCTATTATTGCTCTTAACATTCGCGTGACTTTGATTTCTGATTATTGTTACTACTATTTGATTGTTTTATTGCGCTTTTACAAAGTTAGGTTCTAATATAGCTTTTAATTTTGTATTTCAAATTAAATTATTATTTTAGACATAATAATTTTCTTTCTTTGCATTTCTATTGTAATTTAATTTACTAATTGATTGTTTCTTTTTTATTTAAATTTGTGATTAAATGCATCGCGAAGAAAACCGCGTAGACGTCAGACTGCGTGTCATTTTCACGCAGTCAGATGGACTATATTCGCTCCTCTTTATTCGTCTATTAAAAATGAACATCAAGAACAAGGTACAATGTAAGTATACGAGTCATGAGTATTAAAATGTCAAAAAATGATCGCGCGAATATTATAGTTGTGAATATATAAAAATAAATCTAATATACTGTGCATTTTCTATATTATATATTGAATCGAAATCGCGCGAAAGAGGAAAAGAAAAACAAGACTGAATATGAATAGATATGAATAGACATCCTTTACTAAAAGAAAACTAAAAATATCTCTCAATTTTTTCTCTTTCTTCGGGCAAATCTACATATATGACCACTATATATGATTAATTGATTCAATCTTTACATATTTATTATTATATGCTATTAATCAAAGCCGTAGACAATATTCAGAATTCAAAGTCGCGCGACCGCTGAGCGTAGTAATGGCCATGCGCAGAAACTAATGCGCACCGGTTCGGCCGCCATGTTAGTTCCGCCATTGCTTACGTCATACGCGAATCGGAGTCAGACGCAACTACGCAGATCGTCGTGCAGATCCGCATTTTTTGCGTTTTTAACCGTAAATAAACGAATATCGCGAGTGAACGAGCGTTGAGAGTATCCGAGGATGATCGTGCGACTTTCATAATATATCGATGGAAGCTCGCGAAGCTGATTTTGGCGGTTATTAATGATGGCGTAATTGCGAAGGAGCGAAGTCGCGTCGCGTTATTCGCGCCCTTGATGATGATTATCGGACGCGGGCGAGTATCGGGAGTGCCGAATAAAGTGTCGCGCGTTCGCGTTGATGATATCGTGTGAGTTTGTGTGCATCGAGATCGGAATGGAACATCCCGAGGCGAGCGAATGGAGCGGCCTGTGGGACAGCCGGTGAACGGTGAGTTGATTTGATTTATCATATTTGCGTGATAATTCGCGCTCATTCGACGCTTATACAGCATCGCGATGTCCCGAATTACGTTCGGGCAAATCGGCGCCGCATCATAATTCGATGCGACGCGATGAAATTTAAGTAAAGTCGATCGCGTGAAGATGGTTAGGCTAGAGGCAATTTGAAGTTTACTTTGTATACGCGCGCGCAGGGCTTGCGCAGTTTATCTTGTAGAGATGCCAACTATCAAACGATATAATTTTCGATCTAACCTAATCTAACCTTTCAATGTTTTCAGGAAATCAATCATGAATCTTATGAATTCAATATTCGTCAATGAAACTTTTTATTTTTCATGAATTCATGAGACGCTAGGGAAAAAGATTCATGATCGATTCCCAGATGTCGAATGTAAACACGAGCATATGCTGCATGGATTTTACCATGCTTTTAAAAATAATATTTATAATTATTAGTATAATACATTTTATTACATAGTATATTAATCTGCGTGGATTTTACCAAGCTTTTAAAAATAATATTTATAATTATTAGCGTAACACATTTTATTACATAGTATATTAATCGTATTAAATGTGCGACGTAACAGTGTACAATTTTACATATTTTAATGCGGAGCATATAATATAATTGGTTAGATTAAATTAAATTAATCAAAACAAGCTGCTCTGATGATGTGTTTAACATAATAGTATTCATTTGACGAATGTGTAGCTATTGAAGTTAAATGATATTTGTGGACATATTTTTAAAGTAATCATGAGTCTCGTATCTCATTTATATTACATGAAACTAAACTACAAAATATTTATATATTATATTATTTATGTATTCCACATTAATATTATTCATTACAAGTACTTTATTACTTTTCTTATATCTTGATCGTATTTAATCACATTATTTTATCGATGAAGCTTTTCATATACCGCAGACGATGTGCATGGAATTCTACGCAGGTAATATATGGCACAAAAATAATATATTTATATTTATATTTTATTTATATTTATTTGCATTAATATTGTTTTATTTATTTATATCTGAATTAAATTATTTTTGACCGGGTTTGCTACGCATGCGCGTGATGTCCATCTCTGCCATACTGGTAACAGCATCTCGTTAAAATCGCGGATCATAATACAAGATCTGTGATCTTATTAAACTAAATACTAATTACTTGCAAGTGTTGACATCGTCAAAAATATACGTTATAAATATAAGTTATACGCATAACATAGCGATTATAGTGACAAAGATATTTGTCGATTTCACGTTTATAACCTTACTTAACCTTAAAAACTGTGGAAGGGAATTCGAGAACAGACAGCGTATTCTCTAAGTGAAATAACACGATGTCTTTGCGTTTATGTAAGATTTTATCTCTCAATCAATGCTCTTTATATTTCCTTTAACGATCAATCACTCAATAACATTATTGCGCATATAATGGTGCAGTTATAATTTCTGCCAATTTGATTAATTTGTTTCGTACAACTGGCAATAGTAAACTTAGAAAATAAAGTAATATTTATTATTATAAGAATGCAACGTAGAGCAAGCATATTTACATGATTTTAGATTCATTCCTGAGAAGAATACGGAAAACACACAGTAGAAAATTTAGTACAGTTGTGGAAGTAAAGGATGAGCAAGCAAGTCAAGTATGCTCATTTCGCACAGCTGAAAACAATCCAATTAATCATAATACAGATCACATCGCTAGATTATATACAGTACCAATAGATATTCAACGACAAATTTTTCAAAATGGTGGTTTACCTGGAAAATTTATGAAACAAGTCACTACTTTTCAAGAGTGCTCGATAATGGTCAGGCAACCTGCAATTGAGATTATATCTTACCTTAATCAAGTCGACTATACAAGGCCTGTCAATAAATATGTGTTATGTATCCTTTGAAAAACATGTAGAAATAAAGAATCGTATCATAACTTTTTTATGTTGTAAAATTAGGGAGTAGCTCTATTTTTTTTTCTTATAATTTCAGTGATTATATCAGTTTTATAGATTTATATATTAAAAGAATCGTTCTGTTAAAAAATATTTTGTGCCTAACATGAAAAAAAAAAAATCCTTAATAATATGATAAATAGATGGAAAGTTTGGAGTAGGAAAAAGTCTTACATTATGTCACATTTTGCACTATGCTTTTGCACAAAAATATGTGCTTGTTCACATATATTGGGGTACGTTATTGTTACATATAAATGTTATTGTTCACTGCGGTGCAATTATAATTACTGTTTATTCTTTAGCTGCGCATTGGTTTAAAGACATGAAGGAAGTTGCGACTTCAGTGTTGTCCCCAGGCTGCATGGATCTACCAATCGATGCAGGATTGTGGTTGAAACATTTCAAATTTCAAAATTCAAAGTTACTTTCGGAATTGGATGTACGTGTATTTGAGGTATTATTTTATCAGCTGTACTTATTATATATTTGTTTTACAGTTAAAAGTATCGAAAGATTATGTATGGAATCAACGTGAAATGACTTCACAAGGTACATCTATCTTGGAACTTGTAGAATTCGGCATGAATCGCATCAAATACGCTTGTGGTGTAATAGATGCACTTATAAAAGAATTGAAACTCGCTAGTATAGCAGGAAAGTGTAAGACGATGGTTGTAATAGATGGATTCAATGCATTTACATCGAGTCACACGCGCATCCGTAACGATAATAAAGTGATGGTTCTGCCTAAACAAGTATCATTGGCGATACCGTTTTTCGATATTACGAAAAATGATTGGTGTAATGGTGCAATTGTAGTGACAGTAGACCAAACAGCAAATAAAGTATGTACAATAAGAATGCATTCAATAATTATGTTTTTTTATTTGAAATTAAATTAGACATGCAAATTTAATAGGTTTGAAAAATATTGAAATAAAAATTCAGATTTAGATTCTACATCTAAAATAATACAGGTTAAAATTTTTATTTTTAGGACAGGCGAGAATCTCATCTTCCTAGATATTTGCTTGGCAAAGAAGGTTTCGAACATTTAGATCCTTTCATACCAGTTTTAATTGAAGACTACAATATTGCAGAATTTGATAGTATGATAGAATATTATAAGGATCGTAAATGGATCAGGAACATTACCTCTAGTGGTCAGAGAGAATTGGAATTAATCACTAATAGAAATCCATTTGTTTTAATGGACCAATGTAAATTTTTATAAAGGTAATTGCTCGAGTATAAATATAATTATAACAAAGCTTTCGAAGTTTTTAGCATTTTTTATTTTTACTAAAATTAGAAAACATTTCCAATCTTATTTTAGATTCTATTAGGAATAATTGGAAAATTTTTAATCTAAAGATGTCATTTTTTTTGTTATAGTTTATTAACATACAATTAATAATGTATTTTTTTTAGAATACATAATAATACACAATCACCACAAAAGTACTTATTTTAACATATTTTTAAGATATAAAGAATAGTTTATGCATTAATATATATAAAGCAAATAAATGTATACATAATATATTGGTCTCAAATTCTCCAAAATAAAATTACTCAATATATAAGTGCATAACTTTGACAACACAAATGACAAAAAATATTAAGCTCGACAAATTTTAAGTTTTTCAAAATAAAATTATGATAATTCTTAATTTAAATATAAAATAAATTTAACATAAAGTGCAGTATTAATGAATAATAGATTAGTAACAAATTATCATCAACTATTGATTATGTTAATTACTTCTGCCAGTTGTTAGTGTATGTACTATCATTAACTAAAATTTTAGCCTTGTCTTTTTTAATTATTGCGTTCTGGATGTAATACATCTAACGCCTTGCCAATGTCACCATCTTTTGAAACAAGCAGATGAGTAAGCCATCCACCTTCATTAGTGAATCCCATTGCCATCATTGCTGTTACAGCTTGTTGAATCTTGAGATTTGGATGATAGAATTCATTTTTTACTTCTTTAGGTAAGGATGGATAGATGTGCTGTTTTGTTTCCGTTTTCTCGGGTTCTTCCACAGTTGCTGCTGGTGCGGATGGCGTAATCTGTATAATAAAATATTCTGAACACGTGATATATATACAATAGATAATATATATTATTTTCCACTGTTCTTTCAGATATATATACATAATTCAATGTTTCTATTATTATTTTTTGTAAAGTGTACCTGTTTTGGTGTAGTCTCAGTCGAAGAGGAAGATGTGGAAGAAGTAGAAGCTGTACGACTGATATTAGCATTCTCATTCTGTACTATTGTCCATTCTTCGGCTTCTGCCGCTTGTTCCGTAGCACAAGCTGCTGTTGGTTCCTTCTGTGTTGGTGTCGCATCGTTCGAAAGAGTAGCTTGCTCACTTGTGGTATTTGGGGTTTCACTGTTCAATTTCTTTCCTTCACCTGGGAACTTTTTAGCGGAATCCTCCGATGTAGACTGACTATTCTCAGGTGTTTGTGTATTAACTTTTGCCTCGGCGGGCTTATTCTTGGCGGAATCTTTATCAGTCATTACAGTGACATTGATGCCGAGCGGATCCAAAAATTGCGAGATATTGGAAAGATTGTCCTCAACTATTTTTAACAATTGCGAGAAACTGTGCCTAGTCGCCTCTTGTGAGTCTTCTGTTGCCTCGGTAGCAGCCTCAGCGGACGGGTCCCTGTGCTGCTCCTTGGATCGCTTCTGCTCATGATTCTCGTCTGATGGAGCAGCACACATGTCTATTACAAAATCCGCCAATGAATTTACAACACATGGATCAAAATGGCCAACTTTACCGCTTGTCGCGCTGAATGGACAGCCACTTCGCTTGCCGTTCCTGTGCGCCCACTTGCGCTCGTCATCCTTATTGTGTTGTGTCTTTTTTACGAATTTCCGCATGTGATGAAAAAGTCGGCGACCCTCACGACTCGACCAATCGATGGGTTCCGTCATACGAACCAAATAGTGATCGTGATGATTGCCAATCATCATGCATTCACTGCATAAGTCATAATCTGCACATTGCATGCACTTGAAGCGGAAACCATGTATGGGTTTCTCACATACATCGCATATTACACCAGGATGTATTGTTTTTTCTATATTTATCAAGTCTGGCTGCTCTTCATTGCGATGGATTTTAATGTATAGTTTAAAGTAATTTTTAGAATAATTGCTTTTAGCCATTTCGTGCAGTGCGATCTCTAATTCTTCATTAGTTGATATTGTTATGTATTCGTCCTCCTCATCTAAATGCAACAAATGATTTAACAAATGATTTAAACAATACATGTAGCATTTTAATTCTTATTTAATGTACAAGAAAACAATCTTATGTGAATTTGTAATGTATATTAATCCTTTGCAGATACGTATCTGGAGACAGTAGCTGAAACACATTGAAATTCAGACAATCTATCCACAAAGGATTAATTATAACAACTTTCTCTTACTATTTATTAAGTATATATGATCCATATACTAAAAAAGAAAAAGAATTGATATTATTTAAAGTAAATTATTTAAAATATTGTAAAATTCTAGTTTAAATAATTTCCTGATCATTTATTTGAAGCTACAACTTATGTTACGAAATATTTTCTACTTCAGCTTTCTAAAAGTTGTCATTTGAAACGTATACAGAGATAAAAAAGATAATTGCTGTGAATCAGCTCTTGCTTATCTTTCTTTCGCGAGAAGTCATTGATAAATACGATATGTCAACAGCTGGCGTCAGTAAATTTTGTTTTGTTGCATGATATTAAAACGAAAGACAATAGTTACCTTTCCATGTAACGGTGAAATTTTTTCCTCGCAGGTTTTGGAAAATGCTTTGCAATTTTTCGCGCAGATATACAAAATTCATCGCGACGTCAGCGTCGATGCCGAATCTGCGCGTTTCTAATGGAGGAAAACGTTTCCCTTCCTCCATCAGATAGGCTTTGTAGCTGAACGTGGCCATCGTAGTCGTCGTTTCTCGTCTTGTCACTGCGTTTACGTCGGAATCACTAAACGTCAAATTTCTGCCGAGAAGGCGATTGCGAAATAACGAGGTGTTATACACTTGTTGCCCACGATGCGTCGTCGTCGAAGTTTAGTCGCCGTTTATGAGATGAGACGAACGCAGCTTGCTTATATATCGTGATCGATAACTCACTTATCGTTCACCATGTCGACGCGTCGCGCCATCATAGTCATTTCCGGTACCTCGCGTATTTTATATTATTTTTGATTCTTACGTCATTATTTCTCGCTGTTTCTCCGACTTTATTTGACAACGAGGTCGAAACGATGCTAATGAGAGAGATTTTGTTTTAATACACGACGATTCCAGGACGAAAGAGCGATTTACTCCTTAAGAATTTAAACGGAGGAAGTCTACAGGCGCGGCGCCATTTTTGAATGAGATTGCCTATTTTGACAGGTAATCACGTGGCCGTATCGCGTATGTGATGATTCACGATGCGGTGATAGTATCGTTTTGAACGTTTCTGCGATGTAGTTGCATCATAAAGCAATGTACACGATTTCTAAAAGTTGATTGCACAACTAAAGTTTAATGTCTTTTATAAATTATTATTTATAAAAAATCGCGGAAATATTTCCTGCGATTTAAATAAATGCATATTTCGGAAAAATAGCCCATATATAATTATATATATACAAATATATATATTTGTATGTATAATATATTTATACTATATATTTATATCATGTTATATATTTTATAATTTAATCATGAACTTTATTTTCTTCCAATGTTTTATTGTTGTTAAAGTTTTTTAATATTTTTTTATTTTGTGCTAGGCAATATATTATTAAAAAATACATAAATGAAATGGATTAATTATAATACGGAATATTTGCATGCACATGTTCTCTTTTCGCTATAGATATTGAGGAAAATTGAGAGTTTCGCAAGTAGTAGAGAATGGTCCAGAAAGAATGTAACGGTTTACACATAGAAGTGTCTGGAAAGCAGGTAGCAAAGAAAAGTGCGCATTCATTTCAACGGCAGCTCTGGAATGACGAGAGAGTCACGTTTTCTAGATCTGTGTAGAGTATTCGTACGCGATGAAACACTCATGCATTTATATAACTCTAACATAAATATATGTATAGATATATGAGTATTATGTCTATGTTATATAAATTAGAAATAATGAGGCTTTGAATCAGATGAAAATGTTTGCGTCGTTAACGTCGGTTATATCGTGATTATCAAATACATTTATTGAAAATCGAACTCTCTCAATCTCTGCAACAATACGCACATTGTATCTTCAACGAAGGTTTGATGTATTTTCAAAATTTCTCGTAAGAGCAACATGAGAGGATTTTATTTCGCTGAATGATATAGTAGATATTGATGATTATAAAAAGAATCTTATAATCGTGAAATTGATGCAATATAATTTTAAAGAAAATTACAATTGATTCTGCATACACTATATGTGACATTAATATTTACTATCTTCTTGTATTAATATTTTGTTGCTAATAAATTAGCAAATCTAGCATGCTTGAAATGAATAAAATCAGTCATTATTCGTATAACTCGCCGAGTCATTTATTGATGACTATAATCGTTACAACGCAAATTTGATGATAATCTGTTCTCCTGAATTACATTTTGATGAGTTAAAAATAATCTTGCACTGTTTCAGAAAATGATTATCCTTATAAATATATGTATATAAGATAAATATATATCATCCATTTGATATTAATATAAACACAAAGTGACATCAAAAATGATGATAAGGATTTTGAAAACAGAATTTTTCGAAAAAAAATCTTATATGAAAAAATTTTATCCTACATTTTTTCACGTGGAAAATCACTTATCTTTCATTACTGTGATTTCTGATATTCAAATATGCAAATGTAAGTATCAGAAGCCTATAGATAACTTATATAGGTTATCCTCCTATCTCTTGAGAGGATGTATATATATATATATATATATATATATATATATACTTCTATATATATGTGAACCGTTACATTCTCAATTTTCAACTCTCAATTACAACTCTCAATTACAATCATTACAACTCTCAATTTTCCTCAATATCTAGCGAAAAGAGAATATATGCATGCAAATATTCTGTATTATAATTAATCCATTTCATTTATGTATTTTTTAATAATATATTGCCTAGCACAAAATAAAAAAATAAAAACTTTAACAATAAAATATTAGAAGAAAATAAAGTTGATAATTAAATTATAAAATATATAATATGATATAAAATATATAACATGATATAAATATATAGTATAAATATATTATATATATAAATATATATATATATATATATATATATATACATATAAAGAATGTAACAGAAAAGTCTGTCAAATTTTGAAGTTCTGAAAAGAATCTTTGTTGTAGAAACAGCTTTTGAAAGTTCGAATTTATATATAATGTACATTACATATCTCTTTTTCATATTTTATTTATTTAAATCCATTGGATTGTTACAGATATCATTTAAAACAATTAATTTATTCAACTCTTGTTAGTGATATAGACAGTTTGCAATGAATTTTTAACGATTACTCAACAATGTGTAACATTTATAGTATTTTTTATCGCATACCGATAATCCGCAACAAATGCAATTTCCCTTTTTTTAAATGATTATCATTTTTGTAACAAAGCCTTTTATGATGTTTATTCATACAATCAATATAATTTGTTGTTGTTCTGGTGCATAAATCAAAGTTTGTACGTTCAAAATTTTTTTGTACAGAATTTTAAATTATGTCTTGTATGTATTTACCATTTTCAACTTATATTTTATGTATTATAATTTTTAAAAATTTATTGAATTTTCAAACTTTTATCAAACTTTTTAATATATTTTCCAGAATCTGAAGAAATTGAGGGATTCTGATAATTAGATCAAATATTATTATGCGATTAAATATCGATATATATATATATATATATTATATATATATATATATATATATATATATATATATATAGTTTGAAAAAATATGATTTATCGTTGCTCTTTTAGCGAAAATATAGAAAAACATTATCGTTAGAAAAACATTTATCAACTAAAGTATTAACTAGATAATATTTATTCTGACACATATTTAAGATGAAATCAGCTGATCGTTTCTGATTGCAATTTTCTAATGGAAGTGATATCGGTCAATGCTTGCAGAGTATACATTTGTTGCGATATTATAAATTGAAATGTGCATTTTCCATATGGACACTTCAGGGACGGATGAGATGTTGATATTTGGAAGTTTCAGAATTTAATTGGTACACAGCAAAAGTTTTATTTGGCGCTATGTGTGAGTGACACTACATAAAAATATAACTTAAAAATTAATTGAACTTATAATTTAACATTTGGAATATATTAATGTTATTAATTATATAAATATTGAAAAAAAATATTTAAAAAAAATTTTTTTTAATATGCTGTGATCTTAAAAAAGGAGATAGATAGGAAGAGTATATCATATTTAATATTTATTTTCAGATTTCTCTCTTTCTCTCTTCTTCTATTTTTCTCTGCAGTTTATTAATTATTTAATATAATATTTTAATTTAATTATTTAATATAAAGATAAATTTTTTCACGGATAATATTCTACCAATATATTGATAAAAAAACGATAAAAAAATAAATTGAGGAAATTAAAAATCGATCGATCATATTTATTTTCCTATGAATCTTCGCAATCGTGTTATTTGAAGTATTTGATATGTACGTCCCTGCATCTACCCCGCATTACTCGATAGGAAGAAGCATTCTCGTATAAATTTTAACGTTTAGTCGCTCTTTCCGAGTCTCTCGCGTTATAAACCCTCGTGTTCGATCTTTTAACGGTGACGAGATGAGATTAGCGCTTTATCTGATGTGCTTGATCCTGCTTTTTGTTTTTGTAAACTCGGAAAAGCATTTTCCCATTGATGTCTTCGTTGATGTAATAATGGACATTCGAAAATTGTATTATTCCGCAGCGACTGTTATATTCGCTCATCCTGGAGACGACGACTATGGTGGTCAGTTAGAATATAAGTTAAATAGGATAATATTATTATTGCAGCGATTGTTATTTTGCCAATGTTAGCTAATTAGTATGATCTAGTTTCAATAATTGTTGTGATAGACGACCGAATAACATGATTGACAGTTCGTTATCGATTATTTGATCGATATTCTCTCGATTTTTATTTAACATCTCTTGATTTTTCTCTAAATTGGCGAAATTAAAAAAAAGCAAAAAATGACATTGCGAAAGCAATTTTAGGCTTCATTTAAACAAAATTAAAATTATTTTTTATCGCGAATTCTTTCGCAATTATGTTAAAGTTGAATTCGCAAAATCTTTGCTTGTAGATTTGAGTATTACGCACCTGGTGCATACATGCATTCGTGTGCTGGGTCGACACTATGTGTTGACTCTGGACGTGCACTTTGGACAATTACAGGACTTGTTCAGATATTATCATGAAATAGTGCAACCCATCATCATTGTTATTATGCCCGATTTCGAGGCATATCTGGAATTTGTAGAAGCGACCAATACCTATCCCATGTCCTTTGCTGTGTGGTTCGTGGTATTTCTTTTCACGCCCGCCAATGATACTTACGATCCTTGTCACCAGCCAATAGGTAATCCCTTCAACTTGGCATTCGACACGCAGATGCTAGTCTTATGCCATAACGAAGATGTTCTGCAAGAATGGTATTCAGTTAAGGGTGAAACCATTAAAGTCTTTGATCTAGCAAAATGGGAAGATGATTTAGGATTTGTCCTCTTGACAACCTTATCTCTTTACAATAGAAGGAAGGACTTGGAAGGAGTTGTCTTACGAGCGGTCACAGTCAGGGTACTTGATTAGATCTGATATGCTTTATTTTGAAATAATATAATAACTATATATATAAAATATTTTATAATTTATATGATGTATATTAGTCAAAATATTTGACGTTGAATTTAAATATTTCCATCAAGTTTGCTAAAAAAACATTGAGTTTTTACAATAATGTTGAATAATTTGAGAATCATGTAAAAAATTATATATTAAGTAATATATATATTTCCATATATATGCATATATAAAATATATAAATTAGTTAAGAAAATATATATAATATATAATATAAATAAATGTAGCACACACATATAGTCCAAACATATATTTTATATTCTTGAATTAAAATATGAGTTAATTATGACACAAAAGTTTTTGATTTAATTAATTAATTTATTTATTGATATTAAATAAATTCAGGATATACCGATTTCCTCAAGCATCGGAACTGGAAATTACGTGGGCAGTTTGTACGGAAAAGTGGTGGACGAACTCATGGATTCCCTGAACTTCAGTTTGGATGTAGTATCAAAATTGGATAATCACGGCATGTGGAATTCTAAGAATAACACTTGGTCTGGAGTAATGAATGAGATCGTGTCAGGTCGTGCGGATTTCGCTATTACTGATATGTCGATGACGAGTTTTCGAATGCGTTACGTTGATTTCACGCTGCCCTTAATAATATCTAAGAACAGTTTGTTCGTCAGGGAACCCGCGATATGCGGCGTCGAATGGCTGGGTTATTTTCAGGTAATTAATAAGGTTGAATAGGAGGAGGGGGAATCAGGCGATTCATAAGATTGACTGACAATAAGATCATCTTAATTCATTCTGTTGTGTATTTCAAGAAATATATCAAAATATTAAAAGAAAAGTATTTACATTATAATGTATCAAAATAATAAAAGAAAAAGTAGTTTTTTTAAATTCTGAAATAATTTCTCGTGTAATTGTTCAACAGACATTTCGTTTACATATTTGGATTGCGATTGTCACGTTAATAATGATTGCACCGTTTCTGCTGTCCTTCATGAAAATATATTACGAATCTCGAAGTAATGTGGATTTAATTTCCGATAATTTTCTTTCCATTTGGGGTATATTTTGTCAGCAAGCACTTATAGGTAAAGACCTTTACATTGTTAAAAAAATCAGAATGTATATAAAGCAACTTTAATGAAATACTCATATATATATATATATATATATATATATATATATATATATTAAATATTTATAAAATATCTTAAGAGAAAGAAAAAGAAAGAGAGAGAAAAGAGAAATTTTTTAATTTTTTAATTAAAAAGAATTAAATTATTTTAATTAAGAAATTAGATAATATTTTTAGATGTACTTGCTTTCGAAATTCTTTTTAATTTGATTTTTTCTTCATAGTGTTTCCGAAATGTTCATCACTACGACTCGCGTACTTTACGATATTCTTAACAGCGATACTAATAATGGCTCACTATTCAGCGGCGTTAGTGAGCTTCTTAACGTCATGCATTCGCATTCTTCCCTTCCATACGATAGACGAATTCATCGCCGACAATACTTATAAATTAATAGTTATACGTGGTGGTTCTGATTATGATTTACTCTCCGTAAGTTCATCCACTTTATTTCAAATTTTCCGATTTTCACTTGTAAGTTCGAATAAATTATGCCAAATTGTTGTGTATTCGATAATTAATATATTCGATAATATTATAAATTACGATATTGATTATAATCTTGTTAGCTAAAGTCTTGAAATGTATGGTTTATGTATCACAAAATATTATTATGTCATAGGATCAGTCAAAGCGCGATCCGTTGAACAAAGATTTCTCGACGGAATTAATGGGACTAATGAAAAAGGAATCAGAACTGCCGGAAACTATAATTGATGGCTTCGTGCAAGTATGATCGATATTTTGCAAAGATGATAATATTAATATTATGCAATTTTTTTTAGATAAAATTAATTAATTATTTTGGATTATTATATTAATTAATTACTAATTATTATAATTAATTATTAATATAATTACTATTTTTAAAATATATCATGCTTTTGCTTTTTTTAGAAAAGCTTATTTGTATAATTTACTATTTGTTATATTCATTTAGATATGCAACGACGAAAAGCTTGCTTACATGATATTGGATGTATTAAAGAAAAGTGTCGAAATGAAAATTCCTTGTAAATTATCCAGCGTTAGCACTGAGAGGGTAGACAACTTAGCAATGATTTTGTCCAAACACAATCCATACACGGACGTGATAAATTATCAGTGAATATTTATCTAATATAATTTTTCCACCCTCTTTTTTCCTCTTAATTATTAAAGTTTCATGTGTTTTACAGTTTGCAGAAACTTTTGGATAATGGCATAATGATGCGTTTAAGGGATAGAACATTCTTAGTGCAATCAGTCGAAAACAAGGCTTTTATACCAGTTTGCATGGCTAATGTCATTCCAATTTTGGTGATTCTCTGCGGAGGCATTATTTTAAGTCTCGTTATATTGATTATGGAGAAAATTTATTATGAATACAAGAAGAAAAAACCTCAATCGCAAATGTTCTATTTCGAATAAACAACTGTTTTTAAAAAGGCAATAATCTCGCTTGAAACATGTCCAATCTTATTTGATGCGTATTTTTTATTTATATTTAATTTTTTATTTAATAGGAATACCTTTATATTAGTGAAAAAATGCTATTATTGTATATTATTACTATAGAAATACGTTTTCGTGTGTGTCCGTAGATTTACAAATAAATTTCATATATATATATTTAGTTTAATATATAATATTATATAATATTGTTTATATATGTGTATGATATGTGATATGTGTCTTATTGTAATATTTAAATATTTTTTCAGATATTAAAATAATATATTCTCTTAAAAATAAATATCAAAGAAATCAATTTTTTTGGCAATATGTAATGTTCAATTTAATCAAATATTTAGTCAATATTGATGTATCAAATATTTAGTCAATATTGATGATATTAAGAAATCATCGTGCGACGAGTTATAAGATACATATATAATAACATGTATCGTCTGTAATGCATAGATAAATAGTATTGATTACAGAAATTTAATAACAATGAATAATTTACAGTTCGGCCGATAATTTACTGATGGGAGAATCGTGTCCTGATACGTATCCTCGTGTAATTTCTAACAATGCACTAAGCACAATTTATATTAAGTGCAGTAGCACTCTGCATGCACTTCTATATTTAGATCCCTCGGATCTGATAAAATCAAACGTTCGCGATGATCGCTTTCAGTCGTGCATTAGCGCCATTGAATCGCGGAACCTCGTTCTTTCTTTCCGTTAACTTCTAGCGACGATAAAAGGTCACATTTTTGATAAAAGATCCTACTCATGATAGTTATTGTAGGATTTTTGTGGAAAATTAGGACTTCTCTTCAGGACTTTTCTTCCCTTGCATTTGTTTTAATTTTTAAGAAATAATTCGTTTGTACGTCAAATTAAATGTATTAATAATTATTATTATAATAATATTTTTAATTAGACAAAAATTATATTTTTGTATAATTGTTCAATTGTTTTAATCATTTAGATTTTTTATTAAATTGCTTTAATCCCGCTATGAAGTATGCAACAGTGCAATTTATTGTGATGCTCATTTTCGCGTTAACTATCAAAGCAAAAGAAATACATATTAACAATTATTTCCGGCTAATTAGCGACGTCCACAAGTATTATCATACTTTTAGCATTATTTTCGTGCATCCCGACAGCTATTATGGTAAGTATTGAAGAAACTTCCATGTTTTTTACATTACACCTAAAATGGATGGCGGAAAGAGAACTTAAAAATGTATTTAAAAAAAGAATATTTCATGTATATTAATCTCTTTAATTGTATTCGAAAAATTAATTTTTTTATTTTTTCTCTGAACATATTTTTAATTACAAATTATAAAAGCTACGCGAATCGTGTCGCAGATTTCGATACGACGACGCTGCTGTACTCATGGTCGCGTGACTTTTCACAACAGCGGGTCATGACCGCGACCATAACTTTCTCGGATCTGGTGAGCGATTACAACAAGTACCAGAGGACCATTGCGCGACCATTGTTCGTTGTTCTTCTCGATACCAGGGAGACTATGAACGAATTCGTCAAGGTCACGAAGAATGTAAAGCCCATCTCTTTCCCAGTCTGGTTGATCATGTTCCTGCAACGTCCTGGAAAACCGCTCGAGAAGTACTGCCAACAACCTGCTGGCAACATGCTCAATGTGGACTTCAACACTCTCATGCTGGTCCTGTGCTACGATCATCCGAGCCTGTTCGAGTGGTACGCCATTCATGACAATCGCACCAGGATGTTCGAGTTGGCCACATGGACCGCTGACGGAAGTTTATCTTTTCGGACGCAAAAGAACCTCTACGCTAGGAGGAGCGACATGTTCGGCGACATCGTACGCGTGGCGTCCGTGAACGTGAGTTGCTTCAATGTTGGAAAATTATTGTTATAAATATCGATTTTCTCGCGCAAAATTTTTGCGATGGAACAGTCGACGCAATTTGTCATAGAATCAATATTAGAATTTAATGACACGCATTCTAGTAGACATCAACTAACGATAGATTGACTTGATAATTCTGTTGACGAATGGGATTCAAAGTCGTCGCCGTTATTCTTCTCGGAGAATGGCGTGATCGGTGGATTTCTCGGTCTACTACTGATAGAGCTTAGCAGAGTGATGAACTTCACGATGAAGGTTTTGGATCCAATAGAAGAATATGGCAGTTGGAATGAGAAGAAGAAGGTGTGGACCGGCGTGATCGGACAACTGGTGAGCGGCAAAGCCGACATCGGCGTCTCTGAATTTTCAATAACAGCAACTAGATTAAATGTCATTGACTTCTCGTTGCCATTGATGCATACGCCAAGTCGCATCTACTTTAAGCAGCCCAGTGGAATCGACTTGCATTGGTCTGGATACTTTAAGGTAATGATTAAGTGATTTAAAAATTATGTATGTGCGTGCATGCTTGCATGAAATATATAAATATATGTAATAGCTACACTATAATATAATACACTATAATATAATATATTAATTATACTGTAATTATATTATAAAACCTGTAATAACTTTAAAAACTGAAATTATTTAAAATTATTTAATTATATCTGAGAAAATAATTTCAAAGCAATTTGTGAAACGCGTTTACATGCACGCGAGGAAGAAAATACACGATAATGAAATTTAAATTTGATGGAATAAAATCTTTCTTTTTTTAAATAGTAAATCTTTCAGGCGTTTAGCCTCGGAATTTGGATAATGTTAGTGACGATAATAATAACTGCCTCTATTTTGTTAAGTGTTATAAGCGCAAAAGGATACTTTTCGATGAACTTAATATTCGAAAACTATGTTCATATTTGGGGTATTTATTGTCAGCAAGGTTTATCAGGTAATATTTAGTAAAGATATTTATAATTTCACAATTTTTTAAATTATTTATAATGTTTACAGTATAATTGCCACACCAATAAATACTGTAATGTACAAGTATTCAACGCGTAGTATAATGCATATTATATTTTTTTGCGAGATCACAGAATTTTCCAATAAGCTGTCAATGAGATTGGCCATTTTTTCGATTTATATCTCGTCGTTGATAATTACATCCGCTTATTCAGCCTCGTTGATTAGTTTCCTGACGCTATCTAAGACCAAGCTGCCTTTCTCCAATCTGGAAGGTTACGTTACGGATGGCTCTTATAAATTAATCGTCATGAAAAATAGTGCTGAGCTCGATACGGTTTATGTAAGTTTACTCTGTTAGTCAAAATTGAAAATTGTTGTTTGAGTAACAACAATTGTAAATCGCAATATATGTAACCAGAAATTTAGACTAAAGCGATGGCAAATAAAGCATTTATGTATAAAATTACAAAATAATATTATATATTATTATTATTATTATTATTTTACTAAATTTTATTTAGAAAATATTTGAATCTCTCTTCTCTTCTTTTTCTATCACATGTCTTTATATTCTTACAATAAATGCAACTAGAGCTTTTAAAAACCATTATAATTGTATAATTAAAAGAAGAATAATTCGAATTGTTCGAATAATATCAATTATTTAAATTGCAGACTGCAAAGATCCCCGTGTTTTCGAAAATGCGCGGATTGTTGGAAGAGAAGCACTTTCCACTGACATCGTCGGATGGATTCAAGCAAGTTAGTGTTATTATTAATTGAAATTAAGTTCTTCTTGTTAAAGTCAATTCTCACGTAGATAATTCTCATGTAGATCTGCGAGCGGAAGAATTTGGCATTTTTCACGACTGAAGTATTCAAGACCACCATTTATGTGACATGTGAGGTCACATATATAGAGAGCGGAAGAATGGATAGTTTAGCGATGGCTCTAACGAAGGGAAATCCTTACACACATCTCATGAATTATCAGTAAGTTCATAAAGTGCATTGATAGTACGTTTCTTATTTTTTGATATTCAAAAAAGTGTCAAGAATATATTTTTTAAATATCTATGTAAAATTAATGAGTTTAATATTATTATTCTTAAAAATTTAATTTTTAACAATATTTTTCAAAATGAAAGTTTCATTTTAAAATCTTTGAGAATCTTATAATCGTTAAAAAGGAATAATTAGGTTGCAGTAAGATTGTGAATTATCGAGTAGAATTTGTGGTTATTAATTTCTAAGAGAATTTATAAGTTTCAAACATTTTTCAGTTTACGACGATTTCAGCTTAATGGCGTCATAAATAAATTAAAGAACACGCATTTTTTAACAAGCAATCTGGAAACGAATTTTAGCGTGGTTAGTTTAAAAGATATAATGCCGACTTTGACCATAGTAGCAGGTGGTATAGTACTGGGATTATTTATCTTGGCAATTGAGAAAATATATTATTTTTTCGACATTCGATCTAAAAAAGCAAAAGATCAAGTCAATAAATCGGATCAAAATATCGAGTCAAAACATCAAGTTACGTTTTTGGCGAATTATAAAAGCGAAATAATGAAAAGAACTTAAAGTTAAAAATTTTACAAATAATCGATCAAATATTGAATAAATAATGTTAAAAATAGAAGGTTTTTATTCTAGTAGAGATCTGAAAGAATATTGAGATAAAATATTTAAAAGTTACATATATGATTTTTATATATTACTATAATATAACTAAGAGTATATAGTTTAAATTAAGATTTTTCAATTAATACTATTTCTTGAATTTTGAATGTAAAAAAATGAGTTCTATGTATAAGTAATTCACGTAATTTATAGATATAATATGCATTACAAATAAAACTTGTAATTAAATGTAACATTATATATAAGGCTTTATTATCTATTTTTTTCAAACATTCTTATTTAATTCTATTTATTTTATTATTCAATTATTTTGTGTTTTATTAAAATCTGTCTTTTCCTCAACAAGAATATCTTGAAATTCTAAGCCATAATATCCGTACAGTAATGAACTGTTTCATTTTGGATAAATTTTTCAGCACAAGACGAGTAATTTTCTTCCTTCCTCGCCTTTTTTCGTGTGTAACAATGATGTGAATAACAATGATATGGGCGGTATTCTCAGTAATAACACATGCGTTTTTCCATCGTGCCACGCATTCTTCGTTCGCGAAATCGCTTTCACCGCCAAGCACAGTAGAAATTCGTTGCACTCATAAACAGAGAAAGAATATGCGAACACAATAGATATATAAATATAAGAATATAAATAAATAAAAAAAGACATACGTAGATACCTTCGCTAAACACGAAGGTATCTATGTAAATAATTTATTGTACATACGTGCAGATCGAAAACTAGATAACATTTGCTTAGTCATGATTTTCAAGATTATACATATGTATATACAATAATAATTCATAGGAATTATAAGAATCGATCGAAATAAATCGATCGTGTAAACAAAATAAGTAACAAAAAATAATAACCAGGATATCATTTTATTGTTGCAAATTTGACGTTTCTAAATGCAAGATTTATTTTTTATAAACAGAATCTCTACTTGAAAAAAATACACATTTTGTAGAGATTGTCTCGTCTGGCTGTTATGTTTATGAAAACCATATAGCGACCCGCATCGCATTTCGAAAAAGAATATTTACATGAAAAGAAGGCAGGCTAAGATTGCGTAACGCAATAAGTATGCTTCTGGTTACACACAGCAACGCGTAAAGACGCATTGATTTATGATTATGAAGAAAATAAAAAAAAAGAAAAGAAAACGTGTATATCCCGCGACCTTTGCTGAAATTCGCCTACACGAATTTTGCCCACGCGAATGCAATGAAGAGAGAAATGTCTCCACCGCCGTCTCTAATTTACAAGAACGTAAACGCCCTTCTGATTTCGTTCAAGTATCACAATCTTGTCAAGTGGTACATGAACGCAACCGCGAGAGATTTTGAACATTATCTCGCATGTGGGACTATGTAGGAGTATTTTAGTATAATACTCCTTGAAATTCGATAATTTTACAGCTACATAAAATCTCGACGATTCGTCGAGGAAAAAGATTTTGAACATTCAAGAAGAAGTTCAATTTTGAAAGATGGAACAATTCTTTTTTGGATATTTTTATCAAGAGTTTTTACATCAATTTTTTTAAATAATTTTTTATTACAATTATAATAATCAATGTGCACTATATTTATGCATAAACAAAAAATACAACCATTCATTTTTATATAAATCTGATATTTTGCAATTGAAATAATTATAATAATTTATATCGTATGTAAGTAGATACAGAGATTACTTTATTTATTGCGTTTGATTTAGACAATTAGTAATACTGTTAATGAAAGTGAATAAGTGACAAGCGGAAATGTACATCAGTAGTTTCTTGCAGTAGACGCAGTCGATTCGATACGCACTCAGGTAGCATAACCGTTGGCGACCGCCACGGATATGAGCGAGCACGCGCTTACATTTCCGCTTTCTGTTCGACCGGAAGTGACCTTTGCCTCGTTAGAAAAAACCCGCACGTACGCATCAATCCCCCTGCAGTGGATTGTTCATCGCACACAAGTTGCTTCGATGTATGTATGAGTCGCCATTACCGTTGCATCGAAGGTTAGTGGCGTTGATTATCAATTACGAAAATGAATACATCGCCTTCTTCGCGAGTACTAATCGGTGAGAAATTAAATTTGAACAGCACGCGATGCTACGCATGCAAGCGGAAATTGCTTCTTTTATTGACAGATCATCTCAACTTCTCGTTATGAAGATTTTTTTGATTATTGATTTTTGATTATTGATTTTTTTATATTTTTCAAGATTATACACATATGCAAGATGTGTATCCAAAAAATTATTTAAAATAAGAGAAACATCGAAATGAAAGCATCGTGAAATTAATTATCTCTTGCAGTCAATGCAAATGCAAACAATTAAGTGCATCCGCGAGACACATTTAATAAATTTAATATGTTAGTCGAGATATATCGATATCCTGCAAGACACACTTAAACGTGAAGACTTTTGACAAGTTATTAACTTTAATTAATTATCTAAAACTAAAAGTACAAGGAATAAATCTTAACAGACACCTTTGATAGGAAGCATTATTAATCGCATTAAAATTAACGCGATTAATATCCTTGATTGATTGCTTAATCATTGAGTTTGACAGGATAACGCGCATTAAAAGTAAAAGAAAACATGAAAAATTACTTTTTCATTTCTTTGCTGCGTCGCTAGAGAAATGTTCTAATAAAAATAAAAAACGCATCGCCAAGGGATGATGGATACGACGCGATCGCACGCGAGACGATTTAACGATGCATCTTTACGTCGCGCGGCCTCGAGACATGCATTCTACAGACATGCATAGTTGTCTATTATCGGTGCCGACGATCGACAACTGTCGTTCTAGGGGAAAAATAAGAATTCTCGTCGAGCGACTATAGTCTATCTTTCTCTCTCTTGTCGTCGCACGTGGCAGTCATTCTTGGCGCGTTGTGTCATCTCTCTGGGCTTGTCCAGAATGCCATTATATCGCGCCGCGACAGGACAGCTTCTGCAGTCGATCGTAACAATAACAATAATTGTGAACCAGGAAACAATAATGTTCCTCGATGGTAATCGATTGTCGCGCAGAAGACAATGATGGTGACGACGATGATGATGACTATGTGGGACCTGATCTATGAGAAGCCGTAAGATCGGACAGTGACGTCTTTCAACAACCTTTACCTGTGCACTTTGAAAACTTGATGAATTACATGGACAAGAAAAGAAGTTTCCTTATTAGTAAGTTTCCTTATCAGAATCTAACGGTATTTTCAATAATTTTAATGCAAAAAATTACAATTACGATTAGAGAATTATTTTTGATAAGTGTGTGTATATTATAGAATTACGTATTTGTTTAAACTAAATTAAAAACCTTTTTTCTCTTCAGTAAAAGACGAACATTTCGATACTTTTGCTATGCCTGAATATTTTATACGAAGATTATTTATTATTTAATTTATTATAATTTTAAATTCCAATTATTCTAATAGTGCAATAACAAAATAAAGAAAATAATCTAGCGAGATGTAAAGCTAAAAGAGAATCTTGTAGTGAATCCGTCACTGCGCACTGATTACTGTGAATCTCATTAAGTGCATTCGAGTGCGTGTAGGAAGGTGTTAGCTACGCGCTAGATCATTTGTCCTTATGAAACACTGATGGTTTTTAGAGGAAGCAGCAGCAATTGCTACTGCGTGGATGAAAATTATGAATTCAATAAGAACGCGAGTCGTCGTCCTCGACATCCAGTCGGAAATTATCTAACTGCTCCTGCTCTTATATAAAGGCGTCTGATAATTTAATTAGCCTGTCATAGATAAAATATTACGCGTATATGCGTATATATATAGATGTATTAATTTTCTTAATACCTTCAAGTAATTCGATTAGTAAATTGTTGATAAGTGATGCGATTATGTGTTATAGCAAGAAAAGGATAATTAATTAATATTTAGAACATGTGGGGAGGCCAAAGGAATATTACATTATTATTATAGTTATAAAATAATATATACATTTATTATTATACCTGAGATTAATTATTTTTAATTTAATTATTAAGTAGAAATCACAAATATTTCATATTAATGTAAAATATTTTTGAATAAAAATAAAAATTTAACATTTATATTTAATTAGGTATTTTTTTCGAGAATTATGATTTAAAAAAGCAACGAGTAATTAGCTGCTATTCAGAACGTAAATTATATTAGCCTTTATAATGAGTCCGTGTTGCTGATTAATATTGACGTTTATTTGGACACCGTCAAAATTCATTTGTCACGAGCGACGTGATGTCAAACACAGCGTTTACACAATGTCAAAACTGGAAAAACTGCCGATGTATAGTTCGATCAACATCGTAGACCAAGTACTATTGTGAAACGATACGATCGACCATCGTAAAAGCGTTTGAGTCGCGTAGCACTTTAACTTTTGCCCAAAATAGGCGACCATTGGGGTCCTCGATGTGTGCAACAAGTTCTTCTTATCTCGGAAGGACAAGTCACGAGAAAATTCTCCTCTCTCTCTTTCTTTCAAAACTATTCACATGCTTCTTTTCTTCGTCTACATTCTCATTTTTTACTTTAAATTCTTATTTCTATTCACGATACAAAATTTGGATTTTGACAGGCAAATTTCGTTGCTTTTTACAATCCTCATCTTTACATTAATTTCTTTTAATGTACAAAAATATAAATATGAGTAAATCTCCATCTCTTTCTCTCGTCAACGTCAGCGGCAGCCCACGTATACCGGGTGTCGCGTGGGTGTGAGCTACGTTGAGCACACAGTGAAGGGGGGAGTCGCTTGATACCCCACCGCCGAGCGGTGGGATGGAAAGGAAAAGAGCTGTAGTGTACCTACAGCTGCCTGCCGTAGACACGATTATGTTCGTGTCTGGCGAATCCATTCAGTACTTCTCACGGCACCGGGGGCACATGGTGCGGTCGCGACCACAAGTCGTTTCCGCGAGCGTACACACGCACACGAGCAGCGCGACGAAGAAGTGCAGCAAGCTCCGGAAGATAAGTCCGCTGAGGTAGCTCGTCAAGGAAGAGCGAAGGATACAGCGAGAAGAGAGATAAAGACGGGATACAAGTGCAAAAAGTCATATTAAATCATATTTTCTGGAGAAAAGACATTTTTCAACAAACATATCGGATATATCGAAAGCTCTCTCTCTAAAGAAATTTATTTTCCACAAGGTTGAACATATTTTAAAAATATATTAAATAATGTATATTTTTTAATGTGCACTGAAAAAGTATCGAAATCTATAAAATGTATAAAAGAATGTCTATAAAAAATTTAAAAAATGAGGAAATAAGGAGAGAAAGAGAGACTGAAGAAGTGGGAATATTTGGCTGCATTATTAATAAAAGTGCCTTTTAAATTTTTCAAAAATATCACGAGAAAAAGTAGTGAACGTTCAAGGAAGGACATCAACGGAGGTGCCGGAGAAGAAACTGCGACGATCCTCGCATGAATACTTACGGAAGCGCGTGTCTGGCAACCGCGTGACGCGCGATAAATTTGGTTCCGTGCCGATTATGACAGCGTGATGCCGTGAACGTTTTTTGTCGATAAAATTCCGAGTTCCGTGTCAATTCGCGTTCTCATCTCTGGATGCGAGTTAGCGATCCTTAAATAGTGCTATCGTATATAATCTAAACGCACGTAGAAAAAGGAAAAGAGAGAGACCTATTGGAAGATAAGAAAAGAAGAGGAATGCACACAAGGTCGGACAAAGCGAGGCAAATCTAAAGCAGAGCAATCCTCGTTTAAGGATTGTTTGAGTGTCACAAAGGTAATTAGAACTAATGGGAGCATTTCTTGCATATTATTGCATATATTTACATTGACATGAATTATTTATCGCGAAAAAAGAATAAGCAGATCTCATCGAAAGAGAATGAATGTATGCGAGCTATGACAATCATATCTACTTTTTCATTATGTTAAAATCTTGACTCAACTAACACGAGTAGTTTTAATGAATAAAATCGGGTAATGAATCCAATAAAATTCAATGTAATAACTTTGATGTATTCCGGAGAGAAAGTGTAATAATTTTAATGTAACAGCTGGAAAAGTTGAATCATCTAAAGTCTAAAGTCTAGAAGAACTATTTAAAGATTAAAGTTAGATTGTTCTCAGATACTTTTAAATAAGAATCAGCGGATATTTCCTGAAATCAATTTAAATTTGCCATCTGGCGATCGACGTGTAATGATCTGCTTGAATGTTTTATAAATGAAAAATAAAAGTATTTTATTGAAAGATATTGCTACCGAGGTAAAATAAAAACTGTGGACTTGTAAATCAGTCGCTCTTACTCACGGAAGTCATACTCAAGTGATTTTCCAAGCGTGGAACAGTCGGCTTAAAATACACATTGCATAAATAGTATATAAATACGATAAGAAATTTGAATTAAACCGTTATAATCATCCTTGTTATAAACGCGAAAAGTTATGTAAGTGATAATTATATTGTCCTGTAATTTTGTTACACGAAATATATTTTTCAAGGGATAAATCACGTCGATTATTCGCAATGTTTCAAGTTTTTTAGACAAAATAATTGTTGATAATCAATTGAAATAAATTTGGAGCCGATAAAATCGAGAAATTGATTTTAATCAGTGAGAGATTCATTCTTGATTAGATTATGTCATTCACATGCAGCGGAATAAATAGTAACGGAATCATATTATATGACAAATTATGCGCGATATTTATCAAAGGTTAACTCATGTCAATTAATCGCAATGCTTTATAGAGTTTTTTTAGACACAGTGATCGTTGATAATCGACTGAGATAAATTTGAAGCCGATACATCGAGATTTTAATCAAAAGATTAATCCTCTATGATTAGATCACATAATTCACGTGCAGCGGAATAAGTAACGGAGTTATGTTATATGACAAATTATGTAAATTCGACGTCTTATGTCACCGCTAAGAAGCAGCTTCGTAAACGTCAACAGGCAGTTAGATTATTGTTACACAGCTACAAACCGCATAGCAAGCAAGAAGCTCTTCTCCACCGCGAGTTCTCATCCACTTATGCGGAATTGGATCATTCGCAGTCCGTTGGGAATAGAGCAGCTATGATTCGCGAAGGAAGTCGATCCGCTAAGTTTCACACGGAGATTGATGGTAGACGCGATCCGGCATTATACTTTGCTAACGTAATCGCGACATACGAGTCAGAGGGAGGATTCTGCGAGCACAATTGTTAGAACGACGATTATAAATATAACATCTTTCAAGAGTTACTCCTGGTTAAGTATATACAGGACGAGGGAAACAAATCTCAATCTCCGTTTTTTCTTCAACTGTGAGAACTAGCCACGTACTTTTGTTAAATATTTTTTTATTAGACCAATGAGAAAATTTCAAAGAATATTGCGAATCACACACTTTTCTGTTATTTCTCTTTTTTTAATCCTTAAAAATTTATTTACTTGAACGACAGAAAAAAATTTCTTTTCATCTTAGGTCTCATTTCATAGATCTTTTCCTTGATTTGGAGTCGAGTGGAAAATACCTAATATAGATAGAGGAACGAAATTAGGTCAGCGTTTCACGTGAATGCAATTAAATCTTATTTGAATATTGACGCTGATATATCTCTTTATCCGATCCAGTTAGACGTGATAGACGGGCAATGCTCGGCCTACTCGATTAACAAAGAACGGCGTGGAGAATGGGAGCAACGGACTACTATGCGCACGGAAAGCCGTAAAATCATTCGCTTGTAATGACGTTCTTGATGGAAAATGCATGAATTTTTCTTGTTGCAGACTTAACGAGAGAGACCGGCCGTGAACGGGAATTTTTCCCGTTATCTGGGCGAGGCGAGAAGAAAGGGAGAAGCAAATAAAAAAAATTTCGATGCGAGATTTTGCGAAATCTCACGGTTACCTGTCACGGAACCGCGAATCGCGCGATTAATAAATCAGGTAAATCACTCGGCCCACATTGCCCGTATTCTTGTCCGCGCGCGCGCGCTACCGGAAGCGCAAAAAGCGCATGATGGACGATTTCGGATTTCGCTTGGCGAGCACGGGAAACGACCGTCTATTCCGTTAAACGCGTGCGAAGTTCGCGCATTTGTTCGGATCTTCTCTCTTGCACAGCGTGACGGATCTGCGAATTCAGAAGCATCTACGGTGACCATAATCGTTATTTGATTAAAACAATCGTAATCGTTCGAGGTAATAAATGTCAATCGAATTTGATTGAAAACGGAATCAAATTTTGAATCATATATTTATTTTTGTTTCTTATAAGAGTAAAAGAAATTAATAAACTTTTTATGCTTTATTTTTATATAAAATAAAAATTAAATGAGTTCATCAGCCTTCCTAAAAGAGAAAGCTATTAATTATATTTAATTTTTAATTATATTCGATTATTCATATATACCAATATTAGAAATAAAATAACAAATATATTAATTTTAATAAAAATAAAAATATTTTAATTCTAATAAGAGTAATGAAAAAAATCGAGCAAATATTAAACTAAATTTTTGTTCTTTTTCCTTTTACGAACTTATTACATAATTTTATATCATGATGAAAATGATGAATTAATTAAAAATAATTATATATAATATTTTGAGAATTAATGTGAAATAAAACATAGTTAGATCGTCTTGGCGATTGGCAATCGTGAAATAAATTCAATCTAAATTTAGAAAATGCTTGCTTAATAAACGGATAGATAATAGTGCTGACTAGTCGCTTTACTAATTACAATAACAATGAATCCAAAATAAATCTAACGGTTCAATGATACAAGTATTTAATAAGAATTATGAGACAGACCAACTCGCTAATTACGTTTGAACGTTTCGCAAAGTTTCGCTTTTGTTTTCTTCGTTAACTCGTGGTTTATCTTGATGCCATCCAATTATATATAACGGAATCATGTGGTCGCCGGCGAGTAGTTCACGGACACGACTCCGGAACGCAATCATTTGCGTATAATTATTACAGCAAACGTTTTCTAAAATTAACAGTCTCTTCACGAGCCTTAAACCTGATTTCATTGATTCCCCGGAAAGAATCTCGTAAATCATAGATCGGTTTCACGTTCCTGCGCGTCTCGCGAAGGATGAAACGCCTAACATTACGTCACGAAACTTATGTCACGTCGATGCGACGGCATTCGCATAATAATGACGATAATGGCCGGCGATCGATCTATCTCGATCGCAGAAGGCATCGCGTCGATCGCTCCCGCCGGCCTTTTATGGCAGCTCGCGGGATGCGGGCTGTCAACCCTGGATCGCGAATGATCGCCTCGCGATTAGAATGCAATCGCACGGCGTTTAACGCGGACGATCGTTGTTAACGCACGCGACACCTACACACACGCAAATGTACGCATAATATAGATGTGTATTGTGCAAGAGAGACATGTGCGACGGGGTCGCTGCCCACATGCGTTGCGTGACACCCACATAAAACGCAGCTACCGACTTGACTCTTGATGGTCTCCGTAAAATCCGCTCGATTACAGACGAGCTTACGTGTATGTTCGCTGTGGTAAAATATTGCGCCGATAATAATTTTCAGCGTGGTCGGTGATATTTGAACGTCATGGAACGACCTTGCGAATCGAATCGACGTCGCGAATGCGATAGTTGGTCGTAAAAGTTGTCGGTGTTTTTTCTCTACACTTCGTATATTAATATCTCGTAGAACGAATTAACAAACAAGATACATGTAGAAATTGAATGATTATGTAAATTGAATTAACTTATCGACATCGAAACTAATTGCGATAGATTGCGATTATTTTAGTTGCATATTTTTCCTTTTATTGGAAAAGATAGATGAATTTTTTTACCAAAAAACTTGTCCTGATAAACGTTGCGATAGGAATTTTTATATTATAATCGCGTTAATTTAAAAAAATGAAATAAAAATCTTTTGCTGTATATCAAATAAACGTCATTAATATGTCTTTATTTAAATAAATTTATCTTTTGTTCTTAAAACAATAGATTTTCTTTGTCGAAAGATAATATTAAGCCCGCATGATAATTAAAACGTGAACTTGAGTTTATAGTTCACTTTAGATGATGTGAGAAAATCCGCTTATAATTCAATTTAAATGATGTGTGAAAAAATTCGACTCATATTCTAATTCACATACAAAATTCGGGACAAAATTCTACTTATGATTTTACGTGTTATGTTTAATACAGAAAGTATTTGTAAAAGTGACATGCATATAGAAATACGTGTCAAAATATACATATGTAATTTGAGAATACGCGTTGATTATTAAGATTTATCGCGAATTATAGGATACCTAAAATGGGCTTTAAATTGAAATTGACTTTTTCAACAGTAATAATAGTTTGCAATTATCTCCATCACGACTAAGTCGTCTAATTAATAAGAAATTAATAAGAAAAAGAGAAGAAACATTACTTATGTCGATAGCGTGAAGACAGCCAGATAGCTATATTAGATTATATTAGATATAATTAAGTTTTATTTCATTTTATTCCATACAATTTTTTCATTTCAAATCTTAGGCTAATTAATATAAAAATTAATTAATATAAAACTTTAATATTTATATAATTTAATATTTATATATGTTATATAATACTAATAAAACTCGAATTTTTAGGTGAACGAGAATGAAACGTTTCGAGTGATTTTTAATCATTCTGGTAACAAGAACAATCGATCGAAATAAACGAAGGAAGATGGTGTATCGAGGCAGTTTGCAGACAGACGACCCCAGAGATGCGCCGAAGCTGGTCCGGATATCTCCGCTGCGTAGTAGCAGGCAAATAAATTCGGCCACGCCGAATTCACGAGCCGTTTCGGTCAAGGGTCCAACTTATCACAGCTCATACGCGATGCCGATCGACGCCCATCGGGCGCGACTGATCGAGGAGAGGCGATTGGGTCGCGAGCGAGACATCGAGTCGGTCGAAAAGGTGATCATGAGGACCACCGGCATGAAGATCGGGGCGCCGAGGCTGCGTAACATTAATCAGATTCGCGAAACTGTCTTTGTAGACCAATCTCTTACGCCGATGGATCAGATCGGCAAGTCGGATTTGAGAAATCGACCGCGCAGCGTCGCCGTTGGCCTCGAGGAGGGTAACACTAGAATATCGAGGACCCACAGTTCCCTTCTGGCTGATCTGAAAGACTTAGAGAGACTGAGAAATACTCCATCGAGGAATCACAGAGGTCTTTCGCAGAGGACGGAAAACTCGGAGTCAAAGTCGATCTTGAATAAAAAGTATGACCCTCCGGCTTCAGCCAAGATCCGCTCGGATATCTTCAAGATCCAGCAAATGTTTCAGTCTGCGGATCCTTCGTCAAGGACGATAATCAAGAGTAACATCGATAAGAAAATCAAGAATGATGGAGAGAAGAGGAAATCTGGAACAGAGATGAATAAGACTCGATTGCTGGCACAAAAGCTTCTGGAAGCGTCGAGGAGTAATCGAGAGTCTTTAAAGGATCAATGTAACAATCCAAAGAATGCGTCCAACAGAACATCAAACAAGGAAACGAACGGAAAAGCATCGAAAAAAGTTCATCAAGAGAAGATTTCCGAGAAGGATTCGAAAGACAGGCATCAAACGAGCAAGCAGAAAGAAGAAACAAATTGGGATGATCAACCGCGTCCGCCCGCTCGTAAGAGGCGAAGCTCGAAGAATCGAGGACGGAAGGATGCAGATCGTTTTTGTGAGTCTCTCGGTCAGGAGGAGGACTCGCTGAACGGAACAGCGAGTACGGAAGAGAATTCCAAGGCCAGTTCTAATCTGGAAAGACCGGATATTCTGGACGGGCTGTTAAAGGAGTCCGACCAACAGCTGGCGGACCTGAAGAGCGATCTCGGCGAGAGAGGACGCTCGCGGAGTCACTGGCGAGGATTCGTGCAGTCGATGAGGTTGCACGACGTGGAGCTTCATTCTGACAGCGAGGACCAACGGAAGGGTGAGTTTGCAAATCTCATATACTTGAAGAAAAATATTTTATTCTTAAATTCTCGAGAAAGTTTACATATTTAATCTTTATAATAATATATAATCTTTATTATAATTAGCTATTATAAAACCGCGAAGGTTTGCGGAATAAATCTTGGGTAAATTAAAATATGAATCTCAAATGTGTGAAAAAGCAAATTTTTATTAGCATTAATTAGAATTATAATTTCTACGAAACAGTTAGCTTCGTTAAAGAGAACATCGCGATAGATGAGTATCGGTTTATTGGTGTCTTTTATTCTGCGGATTTTACTTGTATCTCGTTCGACGATGCCTGTTGAAGAAGGGCTTCGAGTTTAATAACCGCGGGCAATTTGAAGGTAAAGAGCACGTTTTATAAACCGGCAGATTCGATTAGCGACATTTGTCGAGGTATTTAAAATTACGGTACAACCGACGTGCCTGTTAATCCCTCGGGGACCGAAGCACCCCTATTTTTAGACGCTCCCTCGCTCGTTCCCTCACTCGTGTTACTATCGCAGATCAGGATAGTGTGTCTCCAATATAGAGTGTGCGTGGTTGAAGTGTTCCCTCGAACATATGTCCCTACATATGGATTTAAGCCAGACACGCACCAGAGAGAGCCTCTTCTCCGATTCCGTAGTGAAAGATTCGAGTTGATGATCATCCCAAGCATTTTTGAGTACTCTCAATTGCGTATACAATACTATATGCGGGTGATAAATATAAAAAATTGAACTGTTCGAGCATAAAATTTATGAGTGCAAATATAATTGTGTTTGTTTATTCCTTACATCGATAGTTTTTATTTTTTTTCATTTATAATTCTTTCAAGATTAAAGAAATTTCATAGCGAAAAAAATTATATTATTAATTAGATATTAATATATTAATTTAATAAATCTCTTTTTATTTCATTATAATAAAATTAAATAAGTCACGAGTTAAATATCAGTTTATAAACACTTGAGGAGAGGTAATAAGCGCGTGTACCTTATTTAATTGATACAAATCACGTTTCGGTGAATACCAAAAGTGTCGGTACATTCTCACGGTTACGTTTATAAGGAATTTTTCTGGTTCTTTATACATATATACGAATGCATGAGTGGCGCAGCACTGCCGTCACCTTTACTTGAACGCAAAATGTAAAAAAGATACCCAGCGACAGGCACGTCTCGTACCGCTCTTTTATCCTAGTTAAACATTCTTATCCGGCTTATCATCTTATATAGACTCAGTATATCTCCTCTCGCTTGCATATGTGCCTGATGACTCAAGAATGTTGATATAATTCTCGGTTGAAATCGAACAATCAGCTGCATTTATGCAAGATACGCAATATAGTAAAAAAAAATAAATAAAAGAAATGTTTCAAGCGCAATTGAAGATGGAATTAGAAAGCGCGACAATTTAATCTCCATTTTTTTATTATATTTTTATTACAATTTAATCCACACAAGAAAAGGATGTATTTTTATTTTAAAGACAAAATTAAAATCAATTCTCTCTTAAAAAATAATTAATGCCATTGTGTTGGCAGAGGGATTTATAATTTTCAATATTAAAAATTAAAATTGCATAAAACAAAATATTCGTCAAATATAGATTTTAAATGAATTTCTTTTCGTCACGAGAATTTTGCATTGCATTCGCAGAATAGATATCGTCACATTACGCCGACCATACGTAATCTTGCTGCAATGTGAAGCCGTTCTCTCTTTCTCTCTCCCTCTTTCTCTCTTATTCTTTTCTAGGGAAGACTCGTAAAGTAGCCTCGGGGGAAAAATTTCTGAATCAAAGGATCTCGGGTCGTCAGTGGCCTCGCGAAGGGGTTAATCCTTTCTCGTGTCATGTTTGAAATACCGCGTTTACGCTTGAACTATGCACCTATGCCCTTCTCGGATACTTGACTGTTTGCGTAATACCGTGCCCGAAACCTCAGAAGGGACATGTTTCTCCCTCTCGTGTCACGCGAAATACATGGCATTCTCACGGTATCGCGAAAGTTTTCATAAACGCGTATCGCGCTAATTAACAGTCCAATGACACGCAACTATTTTTATCGTTCGTATTTCCAGTCTCGCGATTCGATTGCATAAATATCGCGCAGTGCTAGAGATTTGTCTAATGTACAAAGGATAAAATTATTTTAGCCGTTTATTTACGGCTATTTTCTTGCGCTTCAAGATTTTATTTAATTTTATTTTATTTAATATGATATATTAAAATTTGAAAGATATATCAGAGAGATATATATTTATATAAAGATAAAATTTTAAAATCAAATTATATCTTTTTTACAACATAAATTATTTAATTTCTAATTTCAATGTATGTAAAATATGTAACCATTATTATTCCTTGATAAAAATTTATAAAAAGATTAAACAATAATCTTATATCCCATTAATTTTATTATTTAAAAAATAAGAAAATTGCATTAATTTAATCAATAATAATTTCGGATATTTCGTAACGCTTTCTCATCAAATTTAGGAACTTTTTTTGATTGACATATTTAATGATTGATACAAATATCCGATTGGAAGTCAAATATTGATAATTTTACACGCCCATGTAATAACTTTTTACAGCTCGCCTAATCGTGCTAATCTCATAGCGTCCCAAGATAATAGAACTGACACATTATAACAGTCGAAAGACCATCTATAACAAAATTCTAGACACAATAGAGCATCAACAATAACCGCGATCGATAGCTGCATAATATGCAAATGTATTATATTATTCTGTACATTGCATTTCATCCACTTATATATATTTTAAACAAATTTTTAGTAAATTTTATTTTGTCTCCAATTTTCTATAATATAGAACATTAAACTTAAAATTGCTTATTTTAAATAAATTTATCTTCAATTAACTAAAAGATTTTATTTGTTCTCTTGAATCTTATCTTGCTGTAAAATTTTGATTTCCGTTTTTCGCCGCGAGAAAATTGACTACAAATTCCTCAATGGACCCACCATTGAAGGACTGATAGCATTCACCCCGTATAAGCTCTGACGGCCCTTGCCCTTGAGTCTACGCCCTAATATTGATCCGACATCCCCACCATGGTGGGTCACATTGGTAATCCCCCTCTTTCTTCTACCCCGCCGTTGATCGTCCATACATCGTTCGGATGCGCCACGCCGTCAGTGTAAACGTGGCTGTCAAACCGTTAAGACTTTGTAGACCGATCGATTGATAGCGTTCGTTCCCTCAACACTGGTCATTTCTCTTCTTCTTCTCATTCTCACTTCCTCTTACGATTCGCCACGATGCCATCCTACGTCACAAAATATCTTAGTGCAGATGCAATCACGCGGTAGGATACACGCTCTCTGTTGCGAATATGGTCCTCTGCGACGTCTGTGACAACAAAGGTAAGGGTGATTTCCTTTTTTCTTGATAACGAATAAATATTATGGGAGGAAGAATACGCGACGTCATGACGAAGGGACTCTCCTCCTTAATTCTTAATTTGGAAATAATTTTGCTTTGGAAATAATTATTGATTAAATATATTCGGAAATCGAAAATTTCGGGGTGAAAGAAAAATGTTTGCAACGAGAAAATTGAATTGAATTATTAATTAAATATTAGTATGTGAGAATTTTTAAGTGATACATTTGCTTCTTTTGTAACTACTTTGATATCTTTCTTCTTAATATAGTAGTTTTGAATATAAAGAGAAATTTTAATGAATGGCAGAGATAAAACATCTCTATTTAAATTTTAATGTATTGCTTTATGTATTTCGCATAGAATTATAGTTATATAATTAGAAATTATTATAAAAATTCATTAGAAAATTTCCGGACATTCTATGCGATTCTAAACATGAAGAATTCAATGTAACAAATTATAATATATTTAAAACGAATACAAATTTATTCTCATATGATTATTAATTGACATCGTTATCTCACGACGTACGATATTAGTTAATTCTTAAAGAAAGCAAAGGAATCTGCGTCTGTGAAAAAGTCACAGAGATTTTGCTTAAGAGAGAAATTCTACGGTACAAGGGAAAGTTTACGATGGCGCTGGAGGGACAACAGGAAATTGCGGGACTTTTCTGGGGAACGCGGAATTTCCGTAAGGGTAAAGGATCTACAGGAGACATGACGGATAGCGTTTCATGTGCACGTAGCCTAAGATCGCGTGAGTGATATAACGAATGTTCAATCTTTGACGGGAATGAAGGTGAGAACTTATGATCTTATTTAATGCCGTGATAGCAACGTCACAAGGTGATTTTCAAACAAATTTGTAAATACTTTGCGTTAATTCAACGCAATTTTAATGAGGGATGCACCGTATCAAGATAGGTAATCTCAAAATCAGAATATTGTACAGGAAATGAGTTTTTTTTTCTTGTAGAATGTAATATTGTTGTCACAAAAATCTTTGTTACATTAATAAGTTTGTATTTCAATTAATTATATATAAATTAAAAATTTTTAAATATTTATTTATTATCAATTTATCTATTAATATATTAATATATTAATAATTAATATATTATTATATTTAGTAAAAATAAAATTATAAAAATTAGCGGAAGTTGCATCACTATTTATCATTATTTTTATTATAGTATAAATAACATCTCAAAGATTATATTTTTTTTATTATCTCATTATTGAATGAGAAAGAAATAAAATAAAAACTGGCACACAATGATAATAATTATGAGATTATTGAAATATTTGCTAGTTTATATTTTTATTTTACTCAACGAAGAGGGAAACGAATAGATAGTCATTAAGGCGACTTATAAATTGCGTGATAAGGCCTTTCATTCTCTTTTATATAAATTGCTGTTGATGTGATTTACTATGCTGTTTGTCGAGCCGTTTACAAGCAGAATGCATAGCAAAGGTGAGAGAAATCTGCGATAGTTGCATGGTAAATGCCTGACATTTTCACCCTGTCACGCATGAATAAATATGGAACCGCTTTTCGAACACCGTAACA